ATATGAAAGTATAATTATACTTTAAATAATTTCATTTATTTTTCTTCAAATATTTACTAATATTTTATTTCTTTTAAATTTCACAATGGAAGTCAATCGTGATGTTTACGATCTGATGGGTTCACTTTAATCTGAATTGTTCTATTTACTCTCATATAATGATATGCAATTTGATGCTATAATATTATGTCTGATGAGAGTTTTTTTTTTATCAAAGCTTTAAATAGTGAATAATTTTATTTGTTATTCGAATATGTTATTTAGTTTTTTCATTAATTTGTGATCGCGAATAAAAGTGAAAAATGAAATAAATTTATTAAAAGTATCTTGTATAAAGTGAAAAATTACAAAAAAATAACGCACATTTTTCAAATTTCATCTGACAAAAATCAAACATTGACTTGGTCTACCTACTGTAGAAATTTAATTAATGATTAAAAAAATCATATTTTGCAACTAGAGCTCCGATCGGGTTGTCCGATCGGAGCACTATTTGCAACTTAGACATGCAAATATAACTTTTACAATTTTACAAAAAAAAACATATTAATTGAATTCAGTTATTACTTTAACACATTGGATCGAAGTACGCTGTTACTGTAGTTAAGCCGCATTCTTTGGTTAACATCACCCCCAGCTGAAGCCTCCCCCCGAAAAATGAACAACCAATCAAAACGCTGGATAGCTCTTACCGATCACTTGATTTACATCGACCAATGAAATCGCACCATTTTATATGTTCGTTTCATTTTGCCCCTTCCCTCCCCTCCCAAAAGTTCTGAAGTGACGTTAACCGAAGAATTAAATTCAAACGGCCTTATTATCTACCGGATAACATCTACTGTTTATAAAGATAGCTAGTTGCATACTTTTTATGTGTAAGATCTTGAATTTGGATTTATTCAACCCATTTTTTTTCTAAATCGTCATAGATGAATTCGGTTAATCACATATGCGGTTCGAATCTCGAACACATTTAACCAAATCCTTTTTCTTACGTTTAGTCTGCTTTGATTCTAATATATTTGCCTTAATAACCAGGTGTTGTTTAATCCAAACTCATTTTACATAGTTATAGTATAATTTCTCAACAAAAAAGATACTATGAAAAATAATTTCACTATATATATAACTTTATTTTATTCAATGTTTGCAAAAGTCACGAAATTTATATTCATAATGTCACACAATGGTAGCAATTAACAAATATTTAAAAGGAAAATTTAGAAATATCAAATTCTTGATCGTTTACATCTTTTGGGATCGCATAAAAAGAGTGTACTCGAACTAAAGGTGGAAACTTTTGTTCACTATTTTCTTCGTTATCTTCAACTACTTCAACTATTTTTTCAGAAGCATTTAAAGCATCTTCAAACGAGTTGAATACTATTAATTGTTAGAAAATTCAGTTATTTATTATAACATTACAAAATCACTTATATGATTAAAATAGACAATTATACCTATATTGCTATCCGGGTTTTCATTGGATATATTAGAGCCGCTATCTCCACAAATTTCTTTAATATCATCACATAAATCTGTCAATTGAATAATATCTGGAATGTAATTAAATTCAATATTAGGATTAAATTCAATATTAGGAAAGTTACAATATATATTTCGAATTGCACAAGTTTGGTTTTACCTATTTCACTATTCTGGAGTGCATT